CCCGAGTGAGATCTTTGGCAGCCACCGGTGGTTGCCATTGTAACGAATGGGTTAAAATGATGGCGATGGCTGAAGGGCGGCGCGATTTTCATGACGTTCGTGAACGCAATTGGTCCAATGAATCCTTCAGCGCGCCGTGAAGTGTGGTTGGGACTGCCTCTCAGGCACTACCACCAGTAACGTTCAATGACGTCAACAAAACCGCCCTGTTCTTCCAGCCATCACGATCATCTCCTTCAAAGGAGGATTTCACGATAAAGAAGGAGGTCAAAGAAAGAGAACTTTGCCTAGTGGAAAGACAGGTGGACATTTCAAGGATGCGGACGACGACCTAGCATTACCTAGCGCCTTCCTCGCGGCGCTGTTGGCGCGTCGGCAGGGAAGCCCCTCTCGTTGTCTGAGCCGGTAGCCGTTAGCAAAGAGGGCGTTAACGTTGAAGAGGGCACCACCGATGATAGTCGCATCAATGTAAAAATCAACGGGCAAGGAAGAATCCCATTTCTCGGGTTTAGACCATTTTTCTCGGTCTTTTCTTTTTTATGACCTTATGTTCTTTCGTGCATCACTGACCATCCCTAACTTAATATCCAATGGAAAGCCTTTTCATGGTAAGATCTGCATTTATGTTGCAAGCGTATCATACGGAATGCTTCAGTGGAGGGTAATCTATGGAACATCAGAAGCTGAAGCACTCCTCAATGCCACTTCGTAGTAAATAAGTCAGTCGTATGACCTTATGTCTCCACGGGTTCTCCAGTTTCGCTGAACCCGTGTGGTGCACACTGTAGCGTGCGGGGTTGATGGTACCATTATGTGTGTTTCTGTAAAGGCGTAGCCTTGGTCTTAAATTTAGATAGTTTAGCTGTTGAATAGATTCTGTTGCTATTGATGTGGAGAGGGAATGAGAATTTCACCCCGAATGGGGATGAAAATTTCTCTTCTGACGTGTTCTCAGCTCTTCCCGAGATTTAGAGTTATCTGTTTGTCTGTTCAGATATCAGTACAACCTTCGACAAAGGTTGGAGACGTCATCGGCTACTGTCTTTATCGTCTGTATAGGGATTTCGACAGAACAGTGAGGTATCACGTGATCATTAATTTCTATTAAATTTTATTCGGTTTTTCTTCTTTTCATTGTAGTGGGAGCGTGGAGGATTACCAGTTGTTGATGGCGGATGACAGTGGTGAAATCGAGTCCGACCTCCCTCCACTAGACAGAGGCAGATCTATCGGCGATCTTGGTTTCACCGTACTCGCCCTTGTTTCAAAACGTCGAAGTACGAATGGCGGTACGAAGTCGACTTTCAGGATCGTTGTGTAAGTTCACATTAGTGGAGTGGAATACCTTTTATCTCCTATATTCATCCGAAGTCATCAGCGACATTGCTCTGAAGTTCTTAATTCTTATTGATTCGCTTTCTATGATCAAATCAATAATTCGGCGGATCGAGATCCTTTTCTTCATGAATTTACATGAAATATCCCTCCCAGTGAAACAGAGCAATCTAGAGGAAGTACCGTTTTGGAGGCTTTGAACCGCGCGACATGGGCACTGGTATCGTCAGTTTGCTGCAGTAAGCTTGAATATACACCCCATGATGGTTGAAAGCGCTGTGATCTCAAAGGAAGTGGTCACGATAAATCCTATGGGAAAGATAAGGAAAGGTTCGTAGTGGATTGGGTAGGGGCCCTACCCAGTGACACGATAGGTGACGCTTCAGGAGTGGTGGCGCGATGAGGCGCCGAGACTCACTTCCGGTAAGCAGCTGCACCTACGAATCAGAGAATCAAGCACCCATCAAGAAGAATCTCACTGAAGTCAGGGTCACGGCAGAAGATGCCCTTAGCAGAACGAATCGGCGTCTAACAAACCTATCGGACCCTGCGACTGTGAGACCAACTAGGGAGGAGGAAGGGGAAACCTCGCCTTCAAGCACTTCCATTTATATACCGTATTCTATCGTAAGGCTCTGTGAAGCTGAAAACGCTTAATTACCTCATGCATACGAATCTCATTTGGCCTTCTTTTAGATATCTACCGAGCGGGCAAAATTTCATCTTCGAACTTGAAAACCTGGACCACTCCCTCGAATGGTTGCGCGATGAGGCTGTCAAGAGGAAGCAAGGGCAGGAATCCAGTCAACGAAATGGCCTGATGCCGGGTATCTTGTCGAGTTTACAGGGATTATAAGCTCTGTGTTATCATTTGTCTTGTCTCACAGCCTTTCTTTAAGCAACAGTCCCAGCAGGGTTTTACCTTCGACACTAATGGTGTGGAACGATGCGCTAGCCCTAGTCAAGAACATAAGAAGTGTGACTGAACAAAAAACTCACCTTGGAAAGCCGCTAGAAAGGGAGCTGAACGGCTTCGAAGTGGGCGTGGTTGTTCGGCTGCAATCCCCTCGGCCGACTTCCAACCACGCCCACTTCGAAGCCGTTCAGCTCCCTTTCTAGCGGCTTTCCAAGGTGAGTTTTTTGTTCAGTCACACTTCTTATGTTCTTGACTAGGGCTAGCGCATCGTTCCACACCATTAGTGTCGAAGGTAAAAACCCTGCTGGGACTGTTGCTTCAATGCAAACTGAGGGTATCCAATCATTTTTTTTCAGAGATGGAGTATGAGTTGGAAGACGTGAACGTTTTTGGTAAACCACTATACCTTCAACAATCTATTGCAAATACCGGTTGTTACGAATTTGTTCTAGTGAGGAAATTCAGTGAGTTCGAGTTGAATTATTTCAGATTCAATTTTTCCCTGTTTTCTGCAGAATAATTGCTTCTCCCAGGTTCCCGTGGCGAATTTCATCCTCGAGGGACGATGTTCCGCCAAAAAAGCACTGCTCTGCTAACACCTGTTTCCCGTACGCCGAATAGCCCTTCAGTGTTTGGTGAGTTGCTTCCACAAAATTGTGCTGATGGCTCTTTTGATTTTATATTCAATTTCTCCAATCTCGAGTGAAGCCCTGCTGTAACCACTCCTGGTGCGTCGTCATCTGGAGCCGTGTCACCATTTGTGTTCTCCGATGAAGAAGAAGCCATCATGTCATTTCGAGTGAATCGACTTCATCGAGTGAAGCGGAATTGGCCAGCCATTATGTGTTAGTCTGTCTGCTGACTTCTTCGGTATTCTTGGGTTCATTACGTATTTAGTCCCTGATGTACAGGGTGCGCCAAAATTACGGAGACAACGCATGAGCAAACAATTTGAACTGATATTCACAGATGCTGTTTTCTTCTGTCCTAGTTTTGGTACTGTGGTGTAGAATTGTTTATGCTTACCTTGTTCAACCACCAAAATCTATGGTAGCTGCAGCGGTTGACTGATACTGACACCGTCCCTAAATCATTGGACTTCGACGTTGAGGGTTTTTGGCACGCGACAATTATCATCGTTTTGGTGTATACCCGAGCACTATCAATAGATGCTCTCAAATGGTACAGGGGACAAGGAGCTGAATGCAGTCATTCTGGATGAGAAGGGCGTGTTTCTGTGGCGACCACGAACAATCTAAGGATTGTGTGCGATAGAATTTGCAGGTAGTTGACGCGCTGGTTTCACTGGATGTCACGAGAGATAGGAATCAGGGGGGCTCTTTTGGACTTATCAGAGCCCATTGCTATCCTGAGTTTATTTTCACTTTGAAAATCGTTGCTGGGCCTTCCATCAAGTAGGAGCTCCCGTTTACGAGGCAAGGGTGGTTCAGTACTAGTGCAGCATTGATGCAGAACCGATTTTTTCGACTTTGTCGGCTTAAACGGTGGTAGAACAGCATTTCAGATCTGAGCTCGATAGGGTACGCTGTCGGATCCGTTCTAGAAGCTGAGGCTTGCATAAAACACATTATGTCTAGGGATTCGTTGAAGAAACCGCTCTAAAATGAGCTTGACGAGTCCTACTCGCCACATTGCGTGCCACAGTCGATGGTTCCCTCGATGTTTCTGAGGACCCGTATAAACACAAACCAAGGAATTTCAAAAATTGCATGGATGTCGACGATTCAGAATGGGACTGTGCACGTCACTGCATTTTTGTTTTCAAAGAATTGCACCTTGCTCATCCTAGGCAACTCGAAGTCGCTGTCTCCGTAATTTTGGCGCACCCTGTACTCACTCAAAAACCAAGGAGTGCCCTACGAGAAATAGCATGTTGTGGAATCTAATCTGCGGTAGATACCCTTCGTATCCGGCAGCCAGAGAAGTTTTCACTGCAGACTTCTTAACACAAGTTACGCCAGCCTCCAAATCTGGTAACTAGTAGTTCATAGTGATGGGCTGCATGGTTCAATAACTCTTTGATAATTAGTGACAATTGCAACGGGCTATCATTTTAGTAGGAGATGCTTAGTTATATTCTGTAGAGGCTGAGCCACTCTGTTTGTGAAATCTGCGGTTGAAGCACGCAACTCCGGCGCCTGATCCTAAAGGGTAGCGATAACAAAAACCGCGCTATACAGGGGGGCCAATAAAAAAAAGACATTTTGTCTCCACTTCCAGATGGATTTAAGAACATTTTGCTCAATTCAGACCGAATGGTTCAACTTATTATTAAAGAGCGCATTCCATTCTATAAGAAAATCTTTATGGTGGCCACCTACGTGGACGGCATCAGAAGAATTTGCCCTGGAAACATGGTGCACTGGTCGAGCTCAATGGGGTCTTCGAAGGATCGTGTACCATAACGACCCTTACTGGAAAGCTAGTTCCGAGGGGATTTGCACAGTGGTAGCTAATGCCTCTAGAAAACTATCCAACATTAAATCGATTCACGAAATTGCGTAAGAGCTTCAGGCTGAAGCTCTTACGGTAGACCTCCTTGAGCCTGACGACGGTGACAGATGACGTCATATTCTGAAGACGGTGAGGGCAGTGAAGGAGGGCCTGCGTTCACTTATAGAGGGACACTTAGGGAATACTCTGCTGAGGAACTCCCGTCAACGACGGCAATCTCTGCGAAGAAAAAAGGCCGAAGTCCGACATAGGCAAAATGTCTTTTTTTTTTGGCCCCCCCCTGTATAGCGCATGCTGTACCCCTGGCTCGGGTGTGTCAAACCTTCTTTTTTTCTGCATTGTTGCCTGATTTTTCCATACCGGACAAAGCGTCTATCAATACTCGAAGTTCTGAATGTAAGATAGATGCATGGAGCACCTAAAAATAGGATTAATCAGCTTTAGTTTGTCTTGTTGCTATCTTAGCTGAGAAATGAATTCTAAAAAGGCTGGGGAATTACTGAGTTCTTGGTTCGAATTTACTCCTGGCCAGATCTGCTCCTAATGAAATGCAAATGGGAATGCTCAGTATCCGATTTCCTAGGTTTTCGCGGTCTTAGTTGGCGGACTCCAATGGAAGTTAGGATTTTAGCGATTCGTTGGGACTTATTCGACATCGCTCCTCTACCCAGCAATCGAAAATCGTTTCTTCCTAATTCCTATCAGAAGGTGATATCTGTGCTGTGGACCAATCTGTGTGAGGTCAAATGTGTGGAGCGAGCACCTGGTGGGTTCTTGCTTGCTTCTCGCATCCCCCACTTTTTCGTTTTATTCTTAAATATAGGAGAGCTGACGCCGGTCTTAGCAATAACCTGGTTACCGGTGCTTGGAAAGGAAAGTGCCCCATCTGGTGAAGAGATAACCCTACGGCGCATCGCCCAGGTGAGACCATTTTGGAAGAGTATTCTTTTTTTCCTTCGACTAAACGTGGTTTATTAAGAATTACGAAAACCGAACCTGGAAGACAATCACGGTGGAATTCGAATCCATTGAAAAAGCTCAGCAAGCACGGGAACACATGGCCGATGTGGTGCAAGCGCTCAACTCTCCTGCGTCCCAGGTGAACACCAGAGATTTTCCATTTTGCCTCGTTTCCTGTCGGGTGGTAGTCACCTGCTCCAATAGCTGTTAAAATCTCCAGAATCGATAGTAATGCTGATCTTTTCACTGAGTGACACAGACATTTTCTCCCAAAGCGAAATTTAATAGAAAAACAAAACTGACAACGGGAGGAATCTGCGCTCCACCTCAGATATTATATCTCCAAGCTTCGCATTATTTTTACCTTTACCTTTTGTTTTT